ATTTCCTGAGAGAGCAAAATGCAGAATGCTATTTGCCAGTCGACCTTGACCCAGAGTACTTGCCTGCCTGCCAGCTATCTAAACTTGTAATTACATGGATCAGTGGTAGCTGGCAAGGACAACACATGTGTAAACATTATTAGAAAATATACAGATACACTACAAATATTTACTAGTATTCATGGCCATGTTTATTTCATCTGCTATATGGGGAATACTGTGGAATACTTTATTTTCGCTGAAAAGGCTTTTTGGGCGTTTTGTATAAAATTTATTTTCACTGATTTTTGATGAGTTTAATGTGAAATATAGGAAAAAAAGTATATTCGCTGGATTTTATTTTCACGGAATCATCCCTTCAGCGAAAATAAATTCCAAGCGAAAATAAAGTATTCTACAGTAATTTAATACAATGATGGCATCATTTGATGCGATATACATATAACCACATTAATTCAACACAAGTTTTTTTTTTCTAGTTCTGATTTTGACTGAAATTGATTGAATAAGACTTTTATAGAAATTTTGGTATATCTTATCGATGAAGCTATAAGGTTAATTGTCTTTTGTCGTTGCATTCTGACAGAGACATGTTGCGGAATGCCAATGGAAAGCGGAATGCAAATATCTCAGTGAGAGAAATGAAGAAAATTCTATTTGTCATTTTTATTGACATCAATCTTCTCACTTCCAATATGCAATCTGTGATGAGTCGAGGAATTCAGGGATCAAAACAGGAGCTCAATGCTTTCAGAAATTCTCAGGCTTCTAACTTTCCATGGCAAGCAGTGTATTCATATTTCTATGATTTCAAACCTGCCATACCTAATTGCTCATCTTCATAATATTTTTTCTTCTTCACAATCCCTTGTAACAGCTCCATCACTACTCCACTAATTTCAGTCAAAGCATACAAGGCAGAAAAGTAAAAAAAAACAACTAACAAACAAACAAACAAACTGCTTTCTGATTGGTCTGACTGTTAGGTATTAAGATTTGGTAGCCAATCAAGAACAATCTTGTAGTTGCCTTCACATCGAATCCATAATTTCTCTCAGAATCATTTATCAACCTCCCACCGTATATTGTAATCATTCTGCCATGCTTTGACTTCCCTAAAATATTGTACATGTCTGGGTTACTTTTTTTAGCTATGGCTGGGAAATTATACATTTTATTTCTACAGATTCACACAAGATGAAATGCTACACTGATGATGTGCAAAAGAAATCACAAATACAGTGAAAAATAAATGCGCAAGAAACTTTCAAAATTGATATTTTCAACGTAATTGTTATCATTGATTAGCATAAAATGTGATGATTTTAATAGATACAGTGGAGGTAAAAAAGAATTGAGATGAAAAAAGACGTGGGAGACGAGAAAACCTGTTTGAGAAAAAAGTAGAGGAAGGCGAGAAGGTTATTCATGATTTTCTGTGAACAATGAAATGATTTGTTAATGTATGAGCAGATTTTGATTTGATTAACCAACACATAATCTCCAGTAAGCATATAGTAATATTACACATGTTTATAGCTGACTTTTGTAAAAAGTGAATCTTGCATCGTTGCGACGTCGGGAACGCAGCCCCGGCATTGGGAAAAGTACATTTTGTTAATTAGCATTCAATGTGCTTTTACCAATACCTGAACCAGCTCCCTAGGCCACCAGCAATTGATAACCACAGCTCCCTAAGTTACTGGATATTTCACAAAGGCTCCCTAGGTTACTGATGATGCATGCATGATATGAGTAATGATGACCAAATGGGACTAATTAAAATTAATTACAGATGTTAATTAGGAAAACTTGCCAGGCATTGAAGAGAGTACATTTCTTTCAAAGATAACAAGAATGTGCTCTCTACCTACACCTGCCAAGACTTCCTTATAATTGTTTTAACTATGCGGTCCCAAATGGGTGTCAAAACTTCATAGTATACAAACTATACAATGAATTGGATGTGCTTGGCTTGAATAATCCAGGAATTCCATCACCATATAGATATTTACCAGTTACCACGACGATTAAGTGCAAAGATTGACCCAGGCATTGGGAAGAGTACATTATTGCCTGTGTCAAAATGTGCTTTTCCAAATGTCTGGCTCACCCCCTACAATAAAGTACCCATCCTGTAATGTCCAAATTTCTGGTTCAGCCCGTACAAGAAGGTACCCCATGAAAGCTGTAATCATCTAAGGAAAAAACAGAATGAAACAATTAATGTACTTTAAATTGAATTGAATTTATATACATCTAGGAAATCCATTTTGATTCTCAACTGCAACACGCAATACAAATGATCACACAAATTAATTTTATCACTAGCTCATATTCAAAATAATTGTATATTTGCTGGTTGCTGCCTTGGTGGAACAAAGTCTATATAAATACGTCAAATCACATGCTTGCAAGGTCAAACATTGTACACATTAGTTAGAAATATTTTTATTGCAACTGATTAAAAAAAATCCCACTGCTCCAAATCATGAATATGTTGTTACCATGGTTACCATATTGAAATGAGTGTTATTTTTAACTTGTACAGTGAAGCAAATCAGCTGACACGCATTGTAGTGTACATGAAATAATTAAGTACTGACAATCAACTTCAAATTCTGTGATGAAAATATTTTTTTTTTAAATATTTCCAATTTTGGTTCAGAGCAGTGTAAATTATTGACACTTGGGTACTCCACTGATCAAGGCTGTCCAAGAATTTGTGTCATAATATATTGAAGCAATTTTGTGTAAACAAGGTTAAAATGGAATCAAACCAAAATTTACAATAACTGGTTTATTTATAATGTAGATTTTATAAGAAACATAGCTACTGGTTGTTTTTTTTAACTTTTGTAAGCTCTCCTTCCCAAATTTCAGGCATGTTATGAACAACAATAGCTAGGCTTAGTAGAATATTAGACTAGATAGTTCCACAAATGCAGAACAAGTTTGTCATTTGGAGAATCTAAGTAAGTTAAGAAACAAAGTTACAGGACCAGATGGAACACCAGCTGAGCTCCTTCTGTTTGGACCAGGCGACTTGGTAGCTAAGCTCTACCAGCTCATTAACAGGAATGAAGAAGAAATCCCCAAGGACTAGACCAAAGAGCATTATCTAAACTATCAACAAGGGAGATAAGACCCTATCTAGTAATTACACAAGAATCTCCTCTTCTCTGTACCAGGCAAAGTGCTAGGGATAATTTTCTTGAGCAGGATTTGAAAGCCATTAGAGAAAAAAACCCAGGGAAGCTTCGGTATTTGTAGAGGCACGTTGACATGAACTTCACAAATCAGTTGTTCATGGTGAAGTGCTTAGCATTTCAACTGCCAGAATTGGCTTTTGGGATACGTGTGGTTACCCCCTGCTCTTTGGCGATGTCATCAATTTAGTTCTGAAAGCCTTGCGACACTAACCGGTGGGGCATCTGCATGAGACAGCATACACAAATCTTCAAAGAAATCCACAACCTGTTTAGTGCTGAGGTTGGCCTGGTTGTCAGGTGCCCAAAGCCATGGGGATTGGTGATTTAGACACAGTGATCATACTGGATGATACTCTTGTTAAAGGCTGTAGACAACAGTGTTAACTCATCTACTTGTATACAATTTAACTCCTCCTTAGTGATTGTAATTTCCTGCAAAACTGTTTCTTTTTGGTCCCAAGATGTTTACATCTTACTGCAATATTGTTTTCATATGTACCATATTTTAGCATGCAAAACAAATCAGTAATTCTTTTTTTTCTTTAATCCACTTATGAGCTGACAGAAATCTGCCATCACATGCTAAACTAAACCAAAACTTGTCAGTGAATAAAAACGTGTTGTATGATGAGCTATGACAAGAAAAGAATCAGGGCAGTATAATTAGAGTTGTCAACTGCAAGACCAGATGTAAAGCCACTAAATCAAACATCAATTCATTGACATCATTAGCATAATACACAACTCCAAGGTTTCGTCCAATAATGGCACACATAGAAAACCACACCTAAATCCTTAATCTGCTATTACAATCAACCTATTAATTCCGTTCAAAGGCAATTTTTTTCAAATACTCTGCCAGATAAGAATGAGCAGTTCATCACAGCAACAGAATACTGATTCAGCAAATGTCCTACTTCATTGGTGTTTAAACTATGTAGGTTCTTCCATGCTTGGCTATTTACGGCAAAGCCAAACCTATAAAGGTCGCAAAAAAAGATTAGGGCATTCTCTACCACTATACTTGTAACTAGGGCAATATACATGTTTTCAGAAAGGCGAGATATTTGAGAAGAGCTTACTTTTAGTGTTAATATCCAGTTAAGACCGAGATGCAACTTTCCTGTGATCCTCTAGAAAAGTTTCTTGCTGTATGTTAATTTAATTTTTTTTTACTATTACCATACAAGATAGTCTTTGAAATAATTTCTTAGCCATAAACCAAAAGTTCACTATTTTACACTGAATTACTCAGAAATGTGGTAGACTGCCTCCCAGAAACTGACAAATCAGGACAATTCCATCAAGAGGAATCATTCGGTGAAATGTGGTAGACTGCCTCAAAGAGGAATTGCTAACTTGAACAAAATAACTAAGCATACTAATTGTTTTAACAACTGAGTGAACACCCTTATAATGCAATGAGTGCAACGTGACAAGTAGATGACCATGAAAGCGACAAATTTATTTGACATAAAAAAAAATCCTATCTTATCAATTAATAGTTTAAATATGACCTCAAACCCTTTTAAAAGCAACCATTTTTCTTGGATAGATTCCAACAAATTTTTCCCAAACAAATTGGAGTTTTAAATCATAGATTGGGTTTAATTCTCTTGAATTCTGAATATACACGAGAAAGAACCTCTGTAATTATCCACAACGGAACACCAAGATAAAATAGTTCATCCCATCTTCACATAAAACTCAACCATGTCAGATTTAAGACAAAATCATTTTATAAAAAACATTGATTATCAATTGAATGCTTTTTCTGCTGACAGTACAAGTACTCAAATTTATAGAGGGATTAATCGAGTCAGGCACCGATCTACAAAACATGCATCAGGGCATTGTTTTTCAATGATTTATGTCTTATTTCACAAGCAATTTTTAATTATATTAGTGTGTTTTATTAGGATCAGCAACGCCATCAACGGTAATGCACTGACAGACATTTTCCCATTCCAGGTACAAGGTAAAAATGATTTAAACTTGTGCATTTTTTAGAGGTTTCTGAAATGACGCTTTTTTAATTTAATAATAATTTCGTTAATAATTATTGCAATTGTTGCACTAGATTTATGATTGTAACTCCGGATTTCAACACCCTCCACGGGTGGAATGGGAAATGATATGTATACTGGGAAGTGTCCTCCAGAATCAATGGAGAGGCTTGAGCCATTGACTGAGTGAGATTTGTTCACTAACTGATGTAAACTTTAGAGGGGAACTTAGTTAAGCTCAACAAGTGCTTGTATTGGAGGACTTGGTTGGCACTGGTCACATCACTGGCGGGGTCACATGCCCAATCACAGAGAACAAGATTCAGTGGTGAAATGCACTGCATATATTGGTTAGCACTTGCAATTGGCACACAGACAACAGAGACATTCAACGTCCGGAACTGTTGCCCAGCTGGCAGCATGGTTGACTGCATAGACAGAACAAAATTCAAAAACAATTTTGTTCAGAAATACAGAGCAAGAGAATGTGCACACGGCAAGGAATAAATACTAAGGCCATACAGTTAGACATCGCTTACAAATGCTGTTTTAGCTAGACATGACAAAAGACGTTCACTAACAAGCCACGTACAATGACTTGTCTGAGCCAAACGCCCACTTGCACTTGACTGCATACAATAAGCATATGCTCAATATATCACAGGCCACCGAGTGCGTTCACTAATAATGAACCAAATAAAGATCTTTGAAGACAAAAGCTAGGACAATCTGGATAGCAAACTTCATGTACAGGCACATTATTTTCAAAACAAGGCAATTTAGGAACAAGTTTTGATTCAAATTTCATATTATATTTTACATCATTTCATATTTAATTATTATAATTTATATCATTTCATATTTTATTATTATATTTAACATTATTTTAAGTAACGCAAGTATTCACTGATTTAAAAATGTACATTTGTATCTCAAACTCTACCATACCTAATACAGTTTACCAGTCTGGTCATTTCACATACAGAACTCGTGGCACCAAAGTTGCATCTCCCGAAATCAGATTTCAAAGAAAGTATCTGGTGAAAACGTTAATATAGATGCAAAGTAATCACTGAACTTTAGCATACAATTGGAAAGTACATTTCCTGCGCTCCATGTGAAGTACACGTGTCAGAGGTCACATAAATAGTCAATGACCCTATCAGGCAGGAAAACTTCTAGCCTAGCCAATATTGTCACAGCAACAACATATTCAGACGTCTACTTTCTGTGGAAATGTACAATAAGCTTATTGTATGGAGCGATCATGCTCCGACTTTCAAAATAGTCTCAGTACGCATAAAAATGAAATGTCAAAATATTGGCAATCTAAAGCTTACAAAACATTCTTATTAAATTTTGCATTTATGCTTGAGGGGTAAACAAAATTCACATTTATAGAAACATTTCTCTTGCTACTGTCAGCACATAACCTTTTCAGCAGACTTTCTGTCCTAATTTTTCTGTACTTTTTTCTCATATTTCTGGTAGTGAACCTTAATTTTGAGGCCAAAAGACAAAATTTGGATAAATTTTCTGTTTTTACCCAAATTTGGCAAATTTTGTCCCAATCTACTGAAGGAAAGTGCAGACTATAATACAGGACTTTGTGATGAAAAGAGGGAACTGGTAGTGATACCACAAATGCTTAACACTTGAAGAAACTTTCTTTTCTTCACACAAAATCTTTCCATATTTTAAAAATGTTGATCAATTTGTGTATGCCTTGAAATTTGGTCAAAATTTAAATAGAAATTATAGAAAAAAACAAAATGGGCAAAATTTGAGAATCAACTATTTTGGTGTTTGTAGCGTTAAAAGCTTTGCTCGCCCATAAACGTCTAAATTTACAACACAATGATGTGTGCCGACCATTTCCTCCATCAAAAATTTACAAACAAAAGTTTTAAC